CCACGTCCACTCACTGGTAGGATAGAAGAGAAAACCACCTCTGCGCCTATCTCGGGATCGGGCTAGGTGCTGCCTGTGAGATGGGGCAGCACCTACCTGCTAGCTGCCTGCCTGGGGGGTGCCACTGCCATGGAGGGAAAATCCAGGGCCCACCGGCAGCTCTCCCCCCAGCTACAGAAGAGACAGGCAGGCTTTGTTGGGGGGTGGGGAGGGGAAACCAAAAAAACCCCATGCCTGGTGGGTTTCCATGGCGCAGGCTCAGGGAAGAGTTGGATCCAGCAGATGCTGCATACAAGCTGGGGCATCACCTGCACAGCTAGCACCCTGCCCAGGGGTTGCCACCGCCACAGAGGGAAGGACCAGGCCCTCCCCACAGCTCGGGCTGTGCGGCCTAGTGGCAGCTTACACAAGTAGCCTCCGCTACGGGGGGGGAAATAGTGTTGAGGAGCCTGATTTTTTTCCCCTCCCCCGCAGAACCTGTCTACTTCTCCCACTGCCAGGGGGTTAGCTGCCAGCAGGTCCTGAGCTGCAGGGGACCCCAGACCTTCTCTCCACGGCAGCGATGCCCCCCGGGCAGCAGCCTACCCAAGCAGCCCTGTGGGGCACCACCACCACCACAGAGAGAAGGACTGGGGCCCCTTGTAGCTTGGACCGCTCAACCTGCCAGCAACTCACCCCCCAGCTGTGGGAGAGATGGGCATGCTCTGCCGGAGTAGGAAAAAAAGGGATCAGATCCCACACCGTAATGGTGACAGAAGCCCCTAAACTGAAAAGGTGGGTTTTTAATCATTGCAATTAAAAACCCACCATTTCAGTTTAGGGGATGAAGACCCCATCAAGTGTACAAGCAGCCATAAGCCCTATTGCAGGTATTTGGGTTTAGTTTTCTTTGTGTGGCAAGTTTCACAATTTCTGCTGCTTAAAACTTCATCAATTTTCCTCCAACCACTACCCCATGCTCCTTATCCATGTGGGCACAAATGACACGGATCAGCAATCCCAGCTGGGTCATGAATGAGTACAGGACTCTGGGAGCGGGGCTTAGAGGGTTCGGGGTGCAGGTGGTTTTCTCCTCAATCTTTTCAGTTACGGGTACCGGGCATAGGAGGGAGAGAAGAATTGTAGAAGTTAATAGAAGACTGTGGCGCTGGTGCTATTGTGAAGGCTTCAGCTTCTACAACCACAGTTTGCACTTCAGAGAGAGGGGCAGCCATTTGTTGGGAAGGGATGGCCTCCACCTCACTTGAATGGGGAAGAAGCTCTTCTCGGCCAGAATGGCTGACCTGCTTGACTGGCCTTTAAATTAAGTTCACTGGGGGATGAGAAAATAACTACCGGTGCAAGCCCACCAATTGTCAACCACAAAATCAGAAGGTCAGGCTGAATAAGGGAACTCATTCCTACCCCACCCTAGGCACAGGGCTCTTCTAGAAGTGCAGGGAAGCCTAGGGCCTATGACAGCAGGCTTGCTTGCCTCTACACAAATGCCAGGAGCCTGGGCAGCAAGCAGGAGGAACTGGCCCTTCTGTTAAATAGAAATGAGTACGATCTCATAGGGATACCGGAGACCTGGTGGGGACTCCACCTATGACTGGACCACAGGTATAGATGGCTATACCTTGTACAGGAGAGATCGTGTTGCAAGAAATGGCAGGGATGTAGCGCTCTGTGTGAAGAAGCAGTACACTTCCTTACAGGCTGATATGAGCAACCAAGGAGGGAGACTTGAGACCCTTTGGATAAGAGTACAAGGGGAACGTAGTGAAGGGAATATAATAGTAGGAGTCTACTGCAGACTTCCTAATCAGGAGCAAGAACTTGACCACAAATTCGCTATGGAGCTGGCTGAGGCTGGATGCTCTCAGCGGATGGTTATCAGGGGAAACTTCAACTACCCTGACATCTCATTGGAAGAGCACTTGGCCAAATCAGATCAGCCGCAGTGCTTCCTCATATGCATTAACGAGCTCTATTTGTCTCAAGAGGTCTCCAGGCCGACAAGAGGCAAGGCTCTTCTGGACCTGGTACTGGCCAAAGGGGATGAGATGTAGTAAGCAACCTGAGAATCAAAAGGAAGCTGGGAGACAGTGACCATGAGTTGATTGTTTTCTCTATCCACTGCAAAGCTTACAAGTCAGTCAACAATGCGAAAGTCTTCGACTTTAGGAAAGCCGACTTTCACAAACTCAAGAGGCTAGTAGTCAGGACTTGGAGAGGCCATAATCTGACAGGGAGGGGAGTCTACGATGAGTAGTTACTTCTCAACAATGTGAACCTTGAAGCACAAGGGAAGTCCATTCCAGCCCACAGAATAAGTAGCAAAAGGGCTGGGTGACCCCCTTGGCTCAGTATGGAACTCATGGACCTCTTGTGTCTAAAAAGAGAAGCCAATAAAGGATGGAAGATGGGAAACACCACCAAGTAAGAGTATCCAGCACTGGCCTACACCTGTAGGCAGCGAACTGGGAAGGCTGAGGCTGAAACTCAGCTCAGAATGGCTACATGAATCAAGGACAATAAAAAGTACTTCTTCATATACGTGGGAAGTCAAGGGGAAAAAAAACAAGGGTAACATTGGACCCTTGCTAAACCAAATAGGGCAGCTGATAACCGACACCCAGGAAAAAGCCAGTCTCCTTAACAATTACTTTGTGTCGGTCTTCCACCAGCCCAAAGGAATCACCCCGCCTGGCAAGATGCAGGATCACCAGGAAAAGGGTGAAAATATGCCCATCATTGGCATGGATCTTGTGAACTGGCTGACATCGTAGCACAGCCAATGGCAAGGATATTCAAGAACTCGTGGCACTCAGGCGATGTACCTGAAGATT